CGCATCTATTTCAGTATAAAAATCAAAGCAAACATTTATCATTTTGCAAGCGCCAGGGAAAATTGATCGTAAATAAGTGCGAATTTTCTCAAGGAAAAAAGGCACGTGTTTGCAGATGAACGGGAAATAACGTGGTGGAATTGAAACGCATCGCTAGTCTTTAAAAGATTTTATAATTTTAATTGTATAGGCACAATATACAGCATTAGGTTTTTATACTTCAATTTGATATGAAACTTTTTTTGGAAATGTATAACATTGCATTTCTTTCCGACATTAATTGTAGCATAACACAGCTCCACAAAAAAAAATGAAAGTATTTTCCCCGATATCTGACTGTATGTTCTTTATGTTTTTGAGGTCGCTGAATCCGAATCCGGGGTCCGCTTGACTCCATCACGTCAGGGTTAAGGGCATTTGAAGGTCAAATTGCGAATCGACCCGTTAAAAAATTTAAAAAAAATTCATAATATATTTTTGGGATTCCTGATTCCAAATCCAATCTTTTTTGAACCTCAACATGTCAGAATCAAGGTCAAACGGAGGTCAAATCATTCAAATCGGATGATACAATATTTTTGACTCCAGATTCTGAAAGAGCGGAAAATTTTACGTCCGAATACGTAGTAACTTTTTTTTTTAAACCGACTTCTGTAGGTCGCGTTGCGGTTATCCAAAATAAGACTTAGATATTTATTTTTGGAATCTGTTGGCAGCGGTTTTTTCTATGTGTTTGCATCCAGGATACCTCCCCGTGGTGACGGCGGGCAACGGAGTTGTCTCGCTATCCGGCAAAGTTCCTGGGTCATGATGCTCATGCCGTCATGGCAAACACACCGGAAAAACTTACGATGCAGGGGGTCGGAACCCTAGTATCGGCGGCTGGTCAGGGTGAGAAAGCGGGCCCGCAGGCGTCGTCATCATGCGACCGTAGCTTTGTTAAGGTGGCTAACTTGGCCTTACCAAAGTATAAAGCTACAAGTATAGCCAGAACCTCTAGACATGAGCATGACAACCCGGAAAAACCAAATTATTTTTGGTACGTTTGTGCTGCATACGCACCACCATATAGCCGGAAAAATATCACTCGTGCTGTGCGTACTGCATACAGTTATTGTTTTTCATCAGAAATATTGAATCAAGATGAGAATTGGGTTCCACATGTCGTTTGTCTGCGCTGTCATAAAATGTTGCTGACATGTTATATGAAAAAGGACCTTTCAAAGTTGGAATACTCTGTATCAGTGACATGGAATATGCCAGAAGCAAAACAAGACTGTTTCTTCTGCAATACCATTACTCACGGATACAATAGGAAAAATAAATCAAAAATCAAATATATTTTTACCGATAAAGTAATTCCAGCTGTTTTGATTTCAAAAAATAGTGGTAATGCCAAGAATCCTGTTGTAGACGTCCTGGCCAATGAAGAAATAGGTACCGAAGAAGTACAAACAGAGGAAAGTGACAGCGAGATAGAGACAGACAAAGGAAGTGAAAGTGACGAAAACCAGGATGAAAGGAATAAGGAGCCTGCAAAATTTACGCAGAATGAATTGAGTAACTAAGGAAGAGAGTTAGGACTTTCAAAGGAAGCTCATGAACTTTTGGCTTCAAGGCTGAAACAAAAGAATCTTTTGGAAGAAGGTGTAAAGATTTCAATTTATAGGAACAGAGACCAAGAGTTTCGACGTTTCTTTACTAAAGATGATACAGTGAGATTGGTGTATTGCAATGATATCAACGGACTTATAAATAGTTTCAAAGTTAATGTCTACAAGCCGAATGAGTGGAGACTGTTTATAGATTCTTCTATTCGCAGTTTGAAAGTGATATTGCTCCACAATACGAATGTACTTGCTCCAATACCCATAGCTCACTCTACACTTCTCAAAGAATCTTACCAAAATATGAAAATTGTTTTAGAAAAAATCAATTACAAAGAACATCAATGGAGAATCTGTGGTGACCTCAAAATCACTGGAATTCTTCTTGGGATGCAGAACGGGAATATTAAATACCCTTGCTTCTTGTGCCTTTTTGACAGCAGAGATCGTTAAAATCACTACATCAAAAAGGAATGGCCAACGAGAAATTCTCTGCAGCCTGGATCGTCCAACGTCATTCAGCTGCCACTTGTAGATACATTAAAAATTTTAATTCCTCCACTGCATCTCAAACTTGGTTTCATGAAGCAATTTGTCAGAGCTCGAGATAAAGATGGAGATTGCTTTAGATATATAGTGAAAAAATGCCCAAACTCAGTGAAGCCAAGCTAAAGGCAGGCATTTTTGATGGTTCACAGATCCGAACGCTCTTCAATGATCCCAATTTTACATCTCAAATGACAAATTTAGAGAAAGCGGCATGGACTAGCTTCCATGCAGTTTCTAAGTATTTTTTAGGGAACAATAAAAGTCCGAATTATAAAAAACTAGTAGGTGTTATGATTGAAAACTATAAGAATTTAGGATGTAATATGAGCATCAAATTGCATTTTGTAGACTCTCATCTCGATTTCTTTCCAGAAAAATTAGGTGATTTCAGTGAAGAGCATGGAGAGAGATGTATCAAAAGACATGAAAGATATGGAAAAGCGCTATCAAGGGACATGGGGTATAAATATGATGGCAGACTACTGCTGGAATTTAAAACGAGATATAGAAACAGTTCCAGTAACACCTAAAAGAAAACCATTACGTAGATCGTTTGAACAAAAGCAAGTCCGTTATCACAAACGGACATTATATTAAACGGACATTACGATGTAGTAAAAAGGACTAGCTTCGTGATCAGTGACTCAAAAAACATGAAGATCAACTGTCTAAAGAACCAGAATTCTAATCTGTGTTCAATGTTCCGGCCAAAACTAGATATCCAAGTCTTATTTTGGATAACCGCAACGCGACCTACAGAAGTCGGTTTAAAAAAAAAGTTACTACGTATTCGGACGTAAAATTTTCCGCTCTTTCAGAATCTGGAGTCAAAAATATTGTATCATCCGATTTGAATGATTTGACCTCCGTTTGACCTTGATTCTGACATGTTGAGGTTCAAAAAAGATTGGATTTGGAATCAGGAATCCCAAAAATATATTATGAATTTTTTTAAAATTTTTTAACGGGTCGATTCGCAATTTGACCTTCAAATGCCCTTAACCCTGACGTGATGGAGTCAAACGGACCCCGGATTCGGATTCAGCGACCTCAAAAACATAAAGAACATACAGTCAGATATCGGGGAAAATATTTCATTTTTTTTTATGGAGCTGTGTAATCATTCACAAAAATTATGAATAAAACACTTTATACAACGTATCACGAGTTATTTAATCAACGTAAATAAATAATGTACAATTTTATTGTATAAATATGTGTTCACCAATACTTTCCACCACCAGAATGCGTATATGACTTAATGCTTTGAGGTTATTGGAAATATTGTGTACTTAATCTGTTAGAGAAACTACTTAGTAAGAGTGGCAGTATTTTCTCTTTTAATTATCACTCTTTCTCTCTTTCGCTATGGCCAGAGCGAATTATCATTGCATATTTTTGAGTTGCGTAAATGCAGTTTAATCGAGTAATTTAATCGAGTGCGTAACGCAAATTTAACGATTCATAAATTCTTAAACTAATAATGTATTTATAATTCGAACGTAACTTTTATTAATTTGTAACGGAGAATTCCGGCCGTACCCGTCTGGGTTGCTCGCGGCCGTCCGCACAAATTATTTATTCGGGGATTCGGGAAGCAAAAGACGTTCCCACGACTGAATAACGCGTCGAGCATAAACACGTTAAACGCACAGATTCGAAGTCGGGATGAGGAGTGATACAGCGGCAAATAAACACAACAGCGGATTAACACTAATCCTTTAATCGTCAACAATGAGTTACAATACAGCGATCTCGCGCTTATACACTACGAGCGGCACAACAATGAATCCGAACGCGAAAGGTGAATCGGTGGCTGATCAGCCTGCCGATTCTCTTTATAAATTAAATCGCTACAATAATGCCCGACAAAATACTTTTCGGTGATAGGCCATTAACGGGTAGCCAGCAGGTCTGCTGTGCTACCAACCATAGACTGACGCCCAAACATGCAAGAGAGAGAGACAAGAGAAAAATACGGCACCGACCTCGACCTTCAGCCTCTTCGACGGCTGGAGCGCTCTGCGCGTGACGTCACTGGTGCGCTCCTCGCTGACCGTCTCGCTGATATTTGTTGTCGTCGCTATCTATCTCCTCGCTCGTTCTCTCGCTTGCTCTACGATGCTGCTCTCTCAATCCGGAACTCGCTCGTTAATTGCTGCTGTTGTTGTCTCCGCCTCCTCCCTGTTGCTTGGTGCTGTAGCACGTCCAAATTGCTCGTACGCTCGCCCGCGCACCTCGCCGGTCACCCGCACGCACCGGTGCCGGGTATCTTGTGGGACACGGCTGGGCGCGATCCAGCCTCACGCTCTATCACTCGTCCGCGCACCGGGCGTGTCTCCGGAATTAACAAAACGTCGGCGAGGTCGCGAGGCCAACTCGGAAAAACCGCGACCTTTCGGTTTATCCGCGCGCGCGACTTTCTCCGCTCATTGCCTAGCAGAGACTCTCGAATTTTCCGCGGCGAATCGGCAATTCGAGCGCGCTCTCTCTCTTTCTCTCTTCTTCTGCGCCATCTGCGTCGCTCCAGCAGTCAGCTCAGCCCCTGTTCAGCACCTCGTAAACAAAAGGTCCAAGCATGAGTGTGTGTGCCAAACGTACACACTCTCAGCCTGGCGCGGCGCACGGACATTTGCGAGAGCTAAACGGATGAGATCGGCCTAGCCGAGATTCTCCGTCACAAATTATACATAATTTATCCTATTTCTGCTGAAACAACGATTAGTTGTGGATCATTACTTTATATGACATCGTTTTATTTTATGAAAAACATTATATATTATATTCTTTAGTAATATATCAACTTTAGTTTTGATATTTGACCCTTATGTATGAATGGCGCAGGTACTTTAAGTAAAGGATCTAAAGAGTACAGAACTCCTCCAGCTGTAGCACCTCCACAAGTTCCAAGCCATTACGCTCCAAATTATCCATTAGGTCATCCAAGAAGAGACAGAGGTCCCGGATATAGCACTTTACCCGTGCATGTTCATAATACTCAACATCTGAACCATCTAAATTCATCCAACGCATATAATACATCCACACCTCAAATTGGAACAGTACATCCTATACAATCTCATGGGACATCAAGTATTCGCAGTGTGGATTCTAATTTTAATGGAATTAATCATTATACAGATCATAATATCAATATGCCTCGTAAGTATAATTTTGCTACAAAATAATATTCGAACTCAGTCAGTCATTAATTATGAGCCATTAAACTTTCATGATATAAATACTTTTCATATATTTCATTTATAATTAAAATTATTATTTAGTTGATGTTGGAATCCATCAGTCCATATAAACACTAGAATATTCAAAAAATAAAGTAATGATGCAGAATTCAAATTATCGATGTGTGTCAATCAACTAGGTATGCGTAGGTCATAATTTACCTATGATGGAAAATTTAATGTTATGCGTTATATAAAAATATAAATATATACACGTTGAAACATACCCATACACAGACGCATAGACGCGCACGCATACACACACACACACACAATCTTACTAATAACCATATAGAAAGAATAAATGAATACTTTCAGTATTTAAAACCACAATCAATAGCTGATATAACGGATCTTGTGCTACAGATCTTTTGGTAGAATGGGCATTCTGAAATTGATTCGATAAAAATTATAAAAAAATTATAACTATATTATAATTATTTATCAAAATATAATTTTCAATATATACTTACATTAAAAATTTAAAAATTGGCAGGCAGCAACTATATTTTCCATTTTTTTTATTATGAAACTTTATTTATGAAAATTTAAACCAGCACTTTTCACGAGTAAAAAATAAAGCAATTTTATAACTAATTCCAGCATCCGGAAAAACATATTACTAACTAGGCGGATTGATATTTCAAAATATAACTTCTCCTAGTTAATAATATTAATTTTCGGATGTTAGTTGGTGTTATGTGGTCTGCAATTTGCGTAAACAAATTTATTTTTTGTTTACTTAAAAATATAAAAAAGTTCTTTTTTCTATCTTATTGTGTGTTTATTATTTCCAGTAAATATTAAGCAAACTCTTTTCATAGAGAGAGCGTGAGAGAGAGAGACAGACAGAAAGCATGCGCTCCCTTCCTTTACATGCTCGAGTTCTATAACAAATATATTTAATATGAATAAGAATTATCCTAAGGTACAAGGGGGGGTCAATACGAAGTTGGTCGGATCAGTACTTATCCTCACCGCCCGTTGGCGCCACTCTCGCAAAAGAAATATTCTATCACGTAGTACAACCTTCTCGATGGTTACTCTCAAGATTTCAGCCGGATCGGAGTTGTAGTTTATTTTTGAGAGCGTGTGAAAGCAAGTGTGTCCGTTGATTTTTGAAAAATGGAAAAAGAGTAGTATCGGTCGGTGACTCGATTCTTGTTTTTAGAAGGGAAATCGCCCAGCGAAATCAAAAAGCGCTTGGATGTTGTGTACGGTGACTCTTCTCCTTTGATGGCGATCGTCAAAAACTGGTTTAACGACTTTCAACGTGGTCGCACGTCGATTTTTGAAGAGCCACGTCCAGGTGCTCCAAAAACGGCTACCACGGAGGATAACGTGATAAAAATTCACGATCTCGTAATGGCAGATCGACGACTGAAGGTGCGCGAGATAGCCAAGATCGTAGGCATCTCAAAAGACTGCGTGGGTCATGTCCTGCATGAAATTTTGGGCATGAGAAAACTGTCGGCGCGATGGATGTCGCGTTTGCTCACTCCGGACAACAAGCGCAACCGTGAGACAACTTCAGAGCAACGTCTGACGCTGTTTAAGCGCAATCCGAAGGAGTTTCTGCGTCGTTTCGTGACAGTCGACGAAACATGGATCCACTGGTATACACCAGAGACCAAGGAACAGTCAAAACAGTGGACTTTACCCGGCGAAAGTGCTCCGAAGAAGGCGAAGATCGCCCTATCGGCCGGAAAGGTGATGGCCACCGTTTTCTGGGATCCACAAGGTGTGATCTATATCGACTACCTGGAGAGGGCCAAAACGGTCACAGGGCTGTACTATGCCGAATTATTGGGCCGATTCGACATCTAATTGCAGAAAAAACGGCCCCATTTAGCGAAGAAAAAAGTGCTCTTCCACCATGAACGCACCGGTTCGCACCTCCGCTGTTGTTCTTGAATATCACGCGCGTACCGGCATTTTTCTCTAAATTTAACATATGGTTACATCTCGTTATATCTCCGTTAATATTCATTATATGAAAAAAATGAATGGGACATAAAATGTTTTTTTTTTCAAGTAGAATACTATGAAATTTTTTCATATTTTTTTTACAAAAAAAAAATTTTCAACTTTTTTTACCCTTCAGTGGTTTTTTCTAAAAAAGGTCAATAAATTTTTTAAGACGAAAATTCCAGTTTTTACTCATAGGCAAAAAATCATTAAGCAAAATTGCAATTTATGCAAAAAAAATCGATTTTTTTGTTTTTGTATCCTTCTTTTTTCAAAATTTCTTCAATTTTTACAATATTACCTACTTTACCACCAGCAAAACATTCCCAAACCATCATTTAACCACTACCGTGCTTGAAACCAGGAACTAAACATTCATCCATGTATTTCTGATTTGCCCTTCTTGTGACATAAACTTTCCTTCGATTTCCAAAACTTTCAAATTTTGATTCATCTGACCAAAGCACTCTATTCCAAACGTCTTTTGTCCAGTCTTTGTGCGCCCTGGCCCACTGTAAGCATTTTTTTATTGTTGACACAACAAAGCAAAGGTGTTTTCACTTCTATACGATCGAAAAGTTCGTTCTCTCTCAAACGCCTTCTTACTGTACTAACACTAACAGAACTTTTTCCTTTCAAACTTCAATTAACCTCGGCAGTTATTTCGATGGCTGTCATTTTTCGATTGCGTAGACTCACCTTGCAAATGTAATTGTCCTCTTTGGCAGAAGTTTTTCTGCATGCTTTTTTGCATTTTTTTTGTACACTACCTGTTTCACAGAACTTGTTTATATTGTAAGCAACTGTATGTCTATTTATTGTCAACTTTTTAGAAATTGCATGGCGACTCATTTAAAGACTATGGAATGCAATAATCTCATTTCGGTCACTTATATTTAAATTTTTTTATTTGGCCATGTTTGCCGACACTGCAAAAATAGTTGCTCACACTCAAAGAATTTATCACTGATTGATAAGCTTCTACCCGCAGAAGTACAGAAATATTATTAAGTGCAACGATTAGCGTAAATCGTTAGACTCGCGCGAGGTTAATGAGCGGCTGATCGAGAAAAGCCGCGATCGGTTCGCGAGAGAGAGAGAGGGCGCGTAGGGGCAATGACCGGGAGGGGAGCGTTCAACAGGCAGTATGACTCTGTCACTCAGTCGGCCTGCATTGTCGCTAACCTGTTTTTCCGTGCCTTTAACGCGTTTTCGTTTGGTGGTGCTCAAGCGAACAGCGTGACTTGAGTGCGTGGGTGTGCTAGCAGCAGCAACAGCAGCAGCAGTAGCTATAGCAGCAGCAGCAACAGCAACAACAGCAGTAGCAGCGACAGCAGCAACAACAACAGCAGCAATAGTAATCGCGGCGGTGCGGCGAGCAGAGAAGCAGCGCTTCAACAGTTGGTTGTTCGGATACGGTTGGCCACCGTATCCTCATCGTTCTCGCGGTAGGTGCACCTTCCCCTTTTTACTGTTGTAATTGGCGTGCGATCCCGCGCAGCGTGCGCGAGGAAATTAATTGTTGCGCGCGAGCGGTTAGTTCGCGGTGATCGCGGTTTTCTCCCTCTCTCTCTCATACGGTGTGCATTGTTATTCGCGCAAGCGTGCGCAAGACTTATTTAGTCTTTCCTTTGTCCGGAGGTCGCGTCTATATTTGTTTGTTTTGATTCGAATTCGCCGGTAGCGTAGCACGGATCGCGCGGATATCGGTAGACGGGAATCGTCAACTTAGGTTCCAGCGGCGGCCGCACGAGCGCTACTAGGCAAGGGCGACAGCGCCGTCAAGCGGTGAGTTGGGGGAACCCAACTCGGAATAGTGAAGAGACTCTGCGCAGGCGCACTCCGAGACAAGGTAGGTTGATGTGCTTCGAGCACATAGATAACTAGGCGTCGTCTAGTCTTAAAAAAGGTACATTCAAGAGATTATAGACTAAACGGCAGCCTGTTACATGGCGCCCAACTAAAATTAGGACTCACACACGAGAGAATTTGCACAAAAAGAGAGAGCGACGCGCGGGAGAGAGAGACGTTTCCGTGCGTGCGTAATAAGGTGCGAGCGGGTAAAATAACGCGTGGCTCGTTCGGTACGTGCTCTGCGGTAGGGGAAAGACGCCTCTCCGACCCAATAACACCTGCTTTTGTGAGCCGAGAGCACACTAACCCCAGGGGTCGAAGAGACGTCCGGAGTCGCTCTAACACAAATATAAGAGGTGACAAAGCGTATTTTGGTTTACTTTTTGCTTTGTAAGTGTTTACATACACGTTAAAGTATTTAAGTGGGGGTTAGTCACCGAGCGACAGTACCTGCAGAGCGCGCAATTGGGGTGTGTGTAGGGTTAGATTTACTAACCCGGTGGAGCTAGCAAACAGTTAGCCTCCACCTATAGGCAGGTAGTTGCGAAGTGGAAGTTCGTACTTCCTTAGAGTACGCGGCACCTGCACACACCCACAAGCCACGTGTATTGTTGCCTTGCAATTAAAGGCGTATTTGGGTAGTTGGCGATAAAAATCGCAACACCCCGCTCGCGCCTTGGGCGATAGGAGGCGGTAGTGGTCGACTAGGGAAATTAACCTCAACCGTCACCTACGCCCCAGCATAAGCGACATGGAGGATACCGCCGACGTGATAACCCGGTGGGCTTCGGAACTGCCTTCGACACAGCTGGATAGATACCTGACGCAACTGGAGTTGCGTACAGACGGTCCTAAGCTGATGCAGGCAGTTCGATTAGCGTATTGGTTGCTAGGCGAATATATCGACCTAGACTTCCAAGGAGCGGCGTTGGATAGGGAGGCGACACAACGCAGGCGAAGGAGCCGAGAGAGGTGGCTGGAGTCCAGGCGACAAGAATTAGAAGCAGCTGACGCTGAGGATCTTGTCGCCCACCCACTCATGCTGCTATATAGGGATGAGGTGGTAGAGGCGAACCTGACGCGGACTCTCGCGGTCTA